ACTCCATCTTCCAAACTTGTAATGGTTGAGACAAGCATCTCATTTTCCTTCTAAAGCACACCTATGATCTCTTTTGATTCTCCATAGTTAAGCAGGCTTTCTCCCACTTTGTGTGTAGCATTTAGTATGTTACAGTAGGTTCCTCTATAGACATGTCTTTATCTTTTGACACATATTTCCCAATTAAAGCCATCACAAAGTTTGTTGTTTCTCTTTCACTATCATCATCAGAATATACCCAAGCGATTGAGAATCCCTTTCTCTTTCTCTTTAGGAAGGTATAAAATTCGGATTTTATGTGACCAAATCCTTCACATTCATTACATTTAGTTCCTTTTCCTTTAATAAACTCTCTTCATATTTGTACTTGCTCTAGGGACGAATATGTCTGACATCTTGTCTTAAACATTTGCCCTCTATTGTTTGTCTAGCCTTCTCAAAGCTTTGTTGAACTTTTTAACAACAAAAGATATAACATATAAAAATTTATCTTCAGTATCCTTATCACCTTGATCTACCTTCTCTTGAGTATTGGATACAAAAGCTACACATTTGTTCTTCTTTTTTGAACTTCCATTTATAGAAACTCCAAAGGTTCACTATTACAGAATATACTTTTGGTAATACTATATTACTACGTTCCTTTAAGAAACTGTAGTAATAACTCATTTTCGCATGCGTGAATTATTTTCATCACAGTCCTTACTAACAACTGTTATGGTAGATGAAAGGCTACTTGCTTGAAGCCATTAAATTTATTCAACTATTTTATGTTTGTTTGATAAAAGATGTAGACGATGGAGAGGTAAGCAAAAAGTGTTTGGAAAATCATTTGTTTATATAGAGGGGTATTGGATATTTCAATCTTAAGAATCATATATTGCTAGGTTATTTATTATTCATCTTTAAATTTTAAAATTCAAATGTGGTAATTATGAGGGAATACTTTATGTCATCATTAAGTGGGATTAAGAAGGAAAAAATGATTTTTAGACCAAACCTTGTTAGTTTTATAATAATAATGATTAGGGGAAAATACACTCACCTCCCCTGAGGTATGTTAAAATGACACTAACACCCCCTCTAACTTTTAAACATGTATTGACCTCCCTTGAGGTCTACTAAAATGACACTGACACCCCCCTATAGTTTTTGGTGACAGTTAAAAACCGTAGGCATAGATGACATTACCTACGATTTTTGGTCTGTCACTATAACTTTTTGTTGGTATATGTATGCTTAGGAGAGGTCAGTGTATAATTTAAAATTAGAGAGGATGTCACTGTCTTTTTAACAAACCTCAGGGGAGGTGAGTGTAATTTTCCCTAAAGATTATAGGCATTAAGCATATTTTTGGCATTGAAGTTTAAATTAAGGGAACTTTAGTCTTTTTCCTCACCATATAAGGACCTATAAGAAGGGGGGACTCTTCATTCATTTTCTTGTATTTTGAATTCAGAAAGAAAAAACTTAGAGAGAGGAGTTAGAGAAAAGAGGTACGCGAAGGAAGAAAAGAGAAGGGTGGAAAACTTGACTCAAGCCAAAATTTCTTCGTCTCAACCTCCCAAGGATCACTTGCATGTTGTAAGAGAAGCATTTCAATTGGGGGAAAATGAAGCTTTTGATTAAAACCCCTTTTAGGTTTGATTTGGGTAACTTGAAATAGGTTGTTGCATGTGAGATTTTGGGCACTACCTTGCATGATTCTATCTTATCTAACCATAAGAATGTTGTTTCCTGGTCTAAAAATATTTAATTTCATGGTTTTATGTCTTTGAGTGATTACTTAGTGAAGTGAGGTGATTGTTGTAATTGTGGTTGTGTGCAGGAAAACAAAGGGAAAATGTAAAGCATTTGGGCCTGTTACGGTCGTAATTGTTGTTATGGCCAGGTTGTAATGCTTTTTAGTTTCATACCAAGGTAAAGCCAAGGCGTATAATGAAGTGGATTGGGCTTGTTACGACCATACCAGTAGTTACAGCCAGGTCGTAATGCACTCAATAAGGTGCTAAAACATCTCCCATTTCACTATCCTATTTTCCCTAGGACTTGTGTGGAAGGAAAAAGGTAGAAAGAATGGCTTCAGAAATCACTTTCCCCACTTAATAAGTAAATATATAAGGGTACCAGGTAGTTATTAGAAAATGTCTTTGGATTAGGAAGTTTTAGTAAGGAAATAAAGTAAGGATTCCATTTGAATTAGGAATCATGATTACGAGCATGAGGTAATGAACCTTAATGATGTGTATAAGGTTAGATATCATGTAGGCATAATCACGTACATGAGCTAACTCTTTTTCAACATCTATGTGTACTATGTGGATAATCATGTCTATGAGGAAACCTAGACAACATATGTGTGTATTACGTGTATGGGGAATCATAAGTATCATACATGTGTTATGTGTAGATAATCATGAGTATGAGAGTGTAGTTAGATACCGTATATGTGTATTGTATGGATGATTACGCATAAGGGAAACTAACTACTATAGATTCCATATAAGTTTCTGATGAAAAATAGTCTTGAGAGGACTTATGATTTTAGTAAGGATCTCACTAGATTTACTATCTCACCTCACCCTATGTTTTATTTTACTCTTTTCAAATTAATAGGTATTCTGGGAAAAGGAAAAGAAAATATGGCCTGAAGGATGAGTAATAGTCTTTTATTATTTTTACTTGTACTGTTGTGGGTTTGTTGTGTTGTACCTTGATAAGTATGATTAATATTTCAATTGATTATCTAGATATTGTCATTGGAGTATTAATTACAATTTACATATGGTGTCAAAGCATGTCAATTCTAGACATAACCTTAAGACATTAGTAGCAAATCGTCTAAATTCACTTGGTATTGCATGTATGATTCTTACTGTCATAACTACTGAGTATTGAGTCTGATCAACTTGATATTTGTGTGCATGATGAGCAAGGTAATATGGAGGAACCACCACAAGGAAGGGGAAGACCGAGATTGAATATCTTAACAAATGTACCAGTTGGGCAATGATGAGGAAGAAATGAATATTGTCGGACACATATGATGCGATAACATCAACAACACACCATCTGCATATGCAACAACATGAATTAATGATGCAAATGATACATCAGATGCAAGGCACCGAACAACAACAATTATTCATTACTTGAATATGATCATAGTGTGGGACCATACTCGATAGTTTAAACATTTATGTTCCCTTTAATTTATTTATTTATCAATTAAAAATTACACATTATGTGAATATGTTCATAAATTTGTTTAATAATTAATTGGAAACTGCTCATTATCTAAATATGATCATAGTATGTGATCATACTTACTGGTTTAAACATTTATATTATTTAATTATTAATAGGAAAATATTCATTATATGAATATGATCATAGTATATGATCATACTCGCTAGTTTAGACATTTATATCCCCCTTAATTTGTTTAATTATCAATCAAAAACTATCTGTTACGTAAATATGATCATAATGTGTGATCACTCGTTAGTAACCTAAATCTCGTGATAATTTGTCTTCTATTCAACTTAATTATTATAAACTTTAAAATTTAATTAAAATCTATTGGGGTTCAATTACTCTATTTTTCAATTGTTTTCAAATCCTAGTAAATGTCTAGCCCTAAGGAGATAATATAGTTTTTGTTCAAAGTTGTGCAATTGATCTCTTTTCAGAAACATCATTTTGAATTATTGTTTGAAATTATGGTTGTGTTAGATTCAACAATACGGATAGCCTAGAAAAGTAACCAAAATTGAAATGGGAAGGGCAGATTTTAATTTGTCTAGAATCAAACTGAACCCATTGATTGATTTGGTATACTGATTCTAATTTTCAAACCATACCGTTAGTAAAAAAAAATTTAACGAACCATTTTCCATTTATTATGTGGTGAGTTAAAGTGTTGAAGTGTTGAACTGTTTTTTTTTTGAATTTTTTTTGAATTTTTTAATAAAAACTATTTTACTTTTTATAATCAACTTTTATTGTTAATAAGAATTTTTTAAATATAAGTTTTACATTATTTTTTCACTTCTTTTTAATGTTAATGTCGTGGACACATTTTCTTTACTTTTTCAAATAAAGAATTTCACTAAGCTAGAATTTTGTACCTCTCCTGTCTCCATAATAAACCTAGTAGACAACATTTATTTCCATTGAAAAATTTGATTAATGAATCTAGTAAGCCACATCTGTTTAATGAATCTATATGTATACTCCACTTGAACAATTTTCTCAGCAGAAAAATTCCTTTTAAATATAACTTTAACCTCAAACTTATTGGATAACATATCATACTAAATCACCTATCATGGACCTAAATACTTATAAAATACAAAATAGCATTCATATAACTAATCAATACTACATTCCTAAAAAAATGTATTTTTGGCAGTTCTGAGCAGAGATTCCTAAGATTGAAACACGATCAAGATAATCAACTCTTCCCATATATGACCAATGTTTTGAACAGAAAATGAAAATCTATATGAATTCAAATGAGCAGATCTAACATGAATAAACATAAAAGTCGGGTGACATAGCCTTGCATCTATAAATGATATCAGGTGATAACAATATTTCCAACATGTTCAGGGGCACAGCTCACCTAAGATTTGGAACCATTTTGCCTAGCAATAGACACACCAGTCCATGCACAGAAGCATTTCTTCTACTTCTAATAAAAATATACTCTTACGTTAGAAGAAATATAAATAAATTCAAGACAATTTAGATTACATTAGAAAAGACATGTGAATTAGTATCATTCTAAAAACTAGAAATCCTAGTATGAAACTATGACCAGAAATTCATTATAGAAGTCTTAAGCATCACTTACCATTTAAGTAGTACAACTAAAAAAATAAAGCATGCATCAAGATTCATATAACTAATCAATACTTCTTTCTAAAAAAATTAAATTTGAATTCAAATGAGCAGAAATAACATGAATAAACATAAACGTCGGCGTAGCCTTGCATCTAAATAATGTCAGGTGATAACAAACTCTCAACACAGACTTCTGGTAACCTTAAAAACTTGGTAACCTTAAAAGCACCATTCTTGGAATTGTAAGCAATCAACTTCCTTTTCTGTTTCTTCTTATCCTTAACCTCCAGCAGCAGTTGACCGTCACATATATATGAAGCCTTGCTTAAGATACAAGACATACGCGGATGTTGCAAGAAAGAAACACTGAACAATTTAATCCAAGACTCTTGAATTCCATATGTGTTCATAACCCAAACATCATGATCAAAAATTATACTCAAGCAATCCCTCCACACAAACAATGTTATGTTACACCAGTCTCTCCTTCCATGGTCAGGAAAGGGAATCTTTTGAAAAGACTCCTTAACCAAATCAAAAGAAATAATAAAAGGATGAGGCTGACCGATCCAATAACTTTCAGTATAGTCCAACCAATTAATGGTGCCGCTTACATATTTTCCAGCTCCATGATCAAATATAGAACCAAATGGGAACGTAGGAATGGTTCTCCAATCATGGGTACCCAAAGTAAGAGCCTTTACTTTAGTTGTGTCTTCATGGATACCACTACGAATACTATGAAATTGGTAAGCAACAACCACTTTGTAATGATCGGAAACATGATCATAGCCGAATCCATGGGTTACACGAAGCTTTTTAAGCGCTTGTGGGTATTCTTCAAAATGGGGCAATTTTTTGAATTTTCTAATAGAAGGATTCCACAATACAACTATAGATTGATAATCGTCAGTAAGACAGAGAACTCCGTCACACGAACAAGCAATGTAATATGAATTGCTTATACTAGTGTAGAAAGGAAACCCTAGCTGAGTGAAGTTAGTGGTTAGATCAGTGAAGATGGATTGGAGTGAATAAGACTTTAGATTGAACTGATTTTGGTAGGATGAAAGGTAGAGGCGGCGCGTGGTAGACATGCTAAGATGCTTTCTGGCAAAAATGGGACTGAATATTATAGAATTCAAGGATTTGCAGATGCATGTTAATTGGAGAAGGAGTTTCACGGGTAGCCTAGAAAGTATTTCTATTTTGAGTTCGAATGGAAGAGCGGCCATTAAATCGGGGATGTTAGGGTTTTTTTTCTCGGTGAGAGATGCCATCCCATCTGAGGGCCGTGGCAGTGAATCTGTGATGTTAGGGTTTATTCTCTTGGTTGGAGATGCCATCCCATCTGAGGGCAGCGGCATTGAATGAGTGATGTTTAGGGTTTATTCTCTTGGTGGGAGATGCCCTAATAAATATTACTCTACACCTGTTTGTTTCTACCGAAAAAGAAGGTTAATAGCCACATCTCACATCTATGACGATGCCGTTCATCCACGTACCTGCCAATTAGGAACATGCAAAGATATTAACATGCACAAAATGAGTGCTCACAACATAAGAGCTTTTGTAATATCACAAAACAACATATTACATTTAATCAGTCAATCAGTCCGGATAGTCATAAACCATTGATGAGGGATAAAAAAGCTTCAAAATTTCTTTATTTTTAAAAAGCTCCCTTATTAATTAAACCATTCTTTCATAACACATCTAGAAACCAAAAGGTCATGTATCCAATCAGTTTATTCAAAGATAAAACTCATCATGCATTAATGAAATCATAAAAGTATGTTATTTTAAAGAGGTGTGTAACCTTACAATCTAACGTATATTTTTGTCGTGAAGTATGATGTGATCTTTAGTGATGTGGCATGTCATGTTAGCATCTTTATCACGCTATGTATATATTCAGTCATCTAAAATCTTCTACGTTGTATTCCACGTCAGCTTCTATTGATGACATGAACCAAAATTATAAACGAAAAACTTTAAAAGACTCACTACAAAATAAGTTGAGTTTTGCCACGTGAAATTCACGCCGCTAACACCCAAATCACGTCACTATTCAAATTTTGCCACCTTAAAGAACACGTCGCTATATAGCGCGTGACAATCTTGTTGCGGCGTGAAAAACATGTCACTAAGTTGCCACGTGAAATTCACGCCGCAACATACTGTATAGGATAAAAGCAATTCAGAGCAGAGCAGAGCAGAGCAGTGGGTCAGAGCAGGTTTACAATTTTTGTTACGTTAGCTTTAGCGACGTGTTTTTCACGTCACTAATTAGTGACATGAAAAACACGCCGCAACTTGTTTTATTTAAAAAATATATATTTTCTGTTTTAAATATATTAATTATGTTTTAATAATTAATATTATTTTTTGTTTTATTAAATTTATAAATTAAATATTATAATTTAATTATTAAATACAATATTATTAATCAAATTATCAAAAACAAAACTAAATATATCTAAATGTATAAATAAATATACTTAATATTATAAATTTAATAAACTCAAATTTAAATTTATAATATTTTTAAATATACCATATCATTATAAATTTATATTACACAAATAAAAAACTAAATACAAAATAAAAATAAAACTAAGCAGAATCGTCGTCGGAAATGTCGGGAAGAAAGTCATCATTATTTTGGTCACCACTGTTGGGATTTCTACCAAATGCTTGCATAAATTGTCGCATTTGCTCCTCCATATCAGCTTGCCTCTTCGCCATTGCCTCAATTTGTCTATTATGTTCACCCCTCATTGCCTCCATTCGGGCATCCATTTGGGCATCCATTTGGGCCTTCAATGTCGCCTCACGATCTTCGGACTCGCGTCTAGCCAATTGTCTTACCAGTTCTAACTGATCCGGTGTCAAATTTGTTTGACGTGACCCTCATTCACCGTCTACAGCTCTCTGATACAGATTTCTATCCCCACTCCTCAAGGTGCCCGCCAAATTTCCACCACCAAAAAAACACCCGTTAGGCCCCTTTCCCCCAACAACTTGACTCCAAATATAGAAATCCACATCTGGGTGAACCGGTTTTTCTGGAGGAGGCGTATACTGAGGATTATGGGTCAGAAATACTACAAGCAACGCCTGATAATCCTCCTACACATACAATAAAAAAATCAAGTTTAATGTATAAGTAACATTAATGAAATTAAATGAAATAAAAAAAATAATAAAAAATAAATAGCCACGTGATTGTAACGCCACAACTTATCAGTTGCCACTCAATTTTCACGCCACAACATGTCATTTGCTACATGAAAATCACGTCACAAAATTGCTTTAAAAAATATAAACATAAATTTACTTACCAGGGCTTTTTTTGTGCGCTCGTCAGTAAATCCTCCCGATTTCTTTGTCCGAGTCTCCTTAACCAGCTCCGTCATCAATGGTTGTCTCCCCAAACGCTTAGCCTAAATATAAAAATTAACTTAAATTAATAATATGTTATAAATCCAAATATGACCTTAAAAAGTGGTAATAATTACCATGCGTCGAGCATGCTCAGCAGTACTAATACTTCCAACAGCATTAATGCAACCCCCTTTTTCAGATGCCCTCATCTTCTTTGCAGTTTCAGATTTAGCCTTAAATTCATCTGATTCCCAATACTTAAGAAGTTGTTCAAAAACTTCTTTGCCTATCCATTTGGGACGAATGCCCAAAAGGTGCCAATTCTCTCTAACACGTCGTAGCATGTCAGAAAGAACTATGTCAAACAAGGGATTAGACAGCGCTTTTTTAGGCCTTTAACAGCGCTGCTAAAACCTCCGCTGCTAAAGGTATAGACAACGCTTTTTTTTCAATCACTTTAGACAGCGCTTGGTAAAAGCGCTGTCTATTACCCCCCTTTAGCAGCGCTTTTCCTCAATTTTTTTTTAATTTTTTTTCCAATCACTTTAGACAGCGCTTTTCATGAAAAGCGCTGTCTATTACCCCCCTCCCCCCCTCTAGCAGCGCTTTTCCTCTTCTTTTTTTTATAAATCACTTTAGACAGCGCTTTCATGAAAAGCGTTGTCTATTACCCCCCCCCCCCTTTAGCAGCGCTTTTCCTCTTTTTTTTTTAATTTTTTTATTTTATAAATCACTTTAGACAGCGCTTTCATGAAAAGCGCTGTCTATTACCCCCCCCCCCCCCCCCCCCTTTAGCAGCGCTTTTCCTCATTTTTTTTTCATTTTTTTTTCAATCACTTTAGACAGCGCTTTCATGAAAAGCGATGTCTATTACCCCCCCTTTAGCAGCGCTTTTCCTCTTTTTTTTTTTAATTTTTTTTTTCAATCACTTTAGACAGCGCTTTCATTTAAAACAAAACGCTGCCTATCAAATTTATTCTCACCGTTTTTGCACCAGAAACTATAGCTTCATTATAACATTTTAAACAAAAACAACATTAATATATACCACAATGAAACAATATTATAACAACATCAATATTCATCTCTTAAATCCTTTTTGCACAATATACATAACAACAAGATTAATATATAACACAATGAAACAATATTATAACAACATAAATATTCATCTCTTCAATCCTTTATGCACAATATACACAACAACAACATTAGTATATACAACAATGAAACAATATTATAATTACATCAATATTCATCTCTTCACTCCTTTTTGTACAATATACACAACAACAACATTAGTATATACAACAATGAAACAAAATCCACGATGAATATATAACTCTATCTTCTACATCGAGTTGCACCTATATAACCGAAAACAAAATCAAAAAATCAAAATTCATACAAGTTACCAAATAACAACAACAAAAACAATAATATTGTAACACAACTATAACGACATATATTATATTCTCAAAACTTAAAGTTATACCTTATAATAAAACTCTCAACTCCATAACAAATTGGCACCAATCCTCCATAAGTTCATCCAATTGATCTTTTGAGTATGAAGCACACTTGAATTCATCAAAGTACTACATAATAATATAACATAGTATGATTTAATTAAAATACTAAGTCAGTTTATGAGAAATATGAAAATAATTCCTAAGTTAGAAATTCATACCGTGGATGGAATCTCTAATCGGTCCAAAAGAATAGTTTCTTTCATAAACCTCAACATAAAATAACCGCAATCTACACCATTATGCTGACGAGGACACTACACATGGAAAGAAAATACGGATATACATCAAGATATACACCTTAACTTGTTTTATCAAGTATCGTCGCTATATAATCAAAACTGTGAAAATCTATACCTCCACTTTGATCCAAGAAATATTGTTGACTCTACTCCTTGGTACTTGAATATCTCTTTGTGCTCGAAAACTTTGTAGAATACTATAATAAAATAATAACGAATATTTAGAACTATCGCACATAAATAATTAAATATACACAGTAATATTTTGGAACAATGTCACTTACGTGTCAATCGTCTTCTTCATATTTGAGTATGTTGTCAAATCATTGCCCAATGAATCCAGATAATATACAATTTCTCTCACAGGATTAATTGCAACCAATAACCAGTGTCCACTGGAATATTTAACAAAGGTTAGATGGAAATTTTCTGCACAACGTTAAAAAATGAAAAATTATAATAGAGGTAATTTAGAATGAAAATCTTACTTGGGGCCAGTATTATATGGTAAAAAGAACAATTTTTCTGTATCTTTGCTGGCCATAAATAAACTGAGCACAAATGCTACTACTTCATCTGGTTTTGTGATTATTGACCCTGCATGGACAATGTTGGGATTCATGAAAGCGAATCTAGACTCCAATCCACGCGGGCGAATCAAATTGTCATACAGAAACCTTAAATAAAAACATCATTAACATTAATTATTCATTGAAATGAGTAAATAAATTTTGCAATTAATTAAACAAAGTTGATTGGAGTATACCTGATGTATGTATTGATAACAGCCATGCCTAATGTCAAGTGTCCAAAAACTTGTTCCAAATCCTCCTTACCAATTGTTGTCATGCCTTCAGAACCATAAATCCCTTCATGCAGGGGTATAAGAGAAGTACCACCTTGCGAAATAGTTGTGAAGCTTATAAATGTCTGAAGGCACGACCTATATTGTGAAGTAGTTTTCTTTCTAGCCCCGAACCTCTTAGCAACACTCTTTGTTTCTGTGGGAATGTTGCTAATTACAGGCTCCTTACCCCTACTTACAGCTTCATTAATCTCTTTAGCAGGAATAATCTAAATATCATAAAATTAGAGTGGTCAAGTATAGGACGACAAATTAACATTATCTAATCATAAATATCATATAACTTTGTTGTACCTATTTTTTTGCTGTCACTGACTCCTCTGGCCGCGTAATCCCTTTATCTTTTGGTTTGGGTTTTGTAGGAGTCTAACATTACCATGCAAAAAAAATGTAAGTAAAACGAACGTAAAAAATTTGAGTACTAAAAGGTTCATAAAGGTTTTAATTATACCTCATCATCTATGCGAACAAGCCTTGACGGCCATGCAACAAACGCTCCTATTGCCTCTCCCACCAATGTTGCATCCGAAACTTCATCTGGGATTGGTAATAACGCACCCTCCTCTAAAGCAATATCAATCGACACTTTCAAATATCCAGAAGGGAGCGGTTTATGATGAAGTACTTCTCCCAGAGTGTTATGGACTTTTCCCTTGCCAACCATGTGATAAGTTGGTGTCTCTAAAAAGAGTTGACAAGGTGAAATGCCCTAAAATCAATAATAAATATGACATCGTTAATGTGTATATATGTCAGTTAAATAAATTACACTAATTTAATTTCATAATAATATATGTAAGTACCTCGGGAATACTCGGTTGAGCTGCACAATTGACACTAGCTATGTCACTAGCTTCTTTAACACCCGAAGCTTCCCTTTCTGATTGGTATTGTTTTTCTTTTTCCTTCCTCAATTCAAGAACTTCAGCTTCTAATGCATCCAACCTGGCCTGCAGTTCTTTATTGCTAGCAGATTTTGTCTTTGGATTGTTCTTTTTCAAGGAAGTTGGAATAACCCCATGTCCTTTACCCCTCACCCGACCAGAATACTCACGAACATCTAATGCTCGACTAAGTATGCTCCTGCAGTCATCTGGTGGAGATGTAGACTGAGACAGACTCTCCTGAAATTCATATGAATATTGGAAAAACATGAATACTATATGTTAATAAAATTTTGATTTAATTAGAATTAATGTTATACTTACGCATTTTTCAAAAATTTGTTGTACATCTTCTTTGAGAACTCCATCCTTACCCACACGGGCAGCCTTCCACAAAACATGCTCCGGAAGAGATGTTTCGGAACTACTCTCCTCTCTTAACTACACATTAACACAAAAAACAAGCTCAGTTATAACTATTGATGAACAAGTATATCATTGCAATTTGTAAATACTTACTATTTTTTGTTCTAATCGTGCATATCCCAAACGCCCTTTTTTGTATGGATATGCGGGAGATGATGCTCTTAGACGATTTACTTCACTAACACTCTGAAATTTTGGGGTTTTCCGTTTGGCTTTAAAAACATCCCATTCTTTAACTGAAATCACATCCGCATATTCTGCTGGACGCTCTGCATCAACAAATTTTTTTTCGGCATCTCTAAGATATTTTCTGTTTAAATATGTTCTAAACCCTCTCAGTATTTTGCCGGCCAATCCAAGACAATAATCTTTTCTTTTGTCATCAATGTTGAAAGACCTCTACAAAAAACATACACAAAGTGCGTTAGTATAAGTAATTTAAAGACATAATTTAAAGTACATAATTGTAATTTAAAGACATAATTTAAAGTACCTGTATCTCACTCCAGATTTTGTTTTTAGCATCATTCAGCTTATCATCTCTCCACTCATCACAAGTTATTGGAATTTCTCTCCTTACAAGTGTGCCAATGTAACTTGTCAATTTAGAACCGTTAGGCTCAATTAATTGGTCATTTGGACTCCAATGCACATCATATTTTATACCCTTATCTCTATCACGAATGATATTCTTCATTATTGTTTTTCCTCTTTTTATTTCTTTTTCCACTCCCTTACTGGATTTTCCTCCATCATTGTCTCCATCATTAATAGAATCATCGTGAGGGTGCTCCTCGTTACTAGCCATCTAACCTGTAATAAAGAAAAACATTAGTATCTAATGACAAATATTTAATTCCAAATATCTATTCAGTATATAAAATGACAAATATCAATTGAGTATATAAAATGACAAATATCAATTGAGTATATAAAATGACAAATATCAATTGAGTACATAAAATGACAAATATCAATTGAGTATATAAAATGACAAATATATAATTTATTAGAAGTTTGCTAAGTGTTAACAGGTATGGAGGAATATATATTACCTCTTTCACTAACATCTCTTTCTTTTCTTGGTTGGATTCCGAATTACTTGTCTCTTAAGAACGCGGACGGAAGGATTGATCCAAATTCCCTCATCATGATCTTTTCTGAGCCTGCTTTAATTCCATTCTTTCCTGATCTATTTTCTTGTTTATATACGCAAGAGGCTTGGACATTTCCCTTAGGATAGGTTGTAGCCTTTTTTGTTTTCTCTAAACTACAACCATTGGTCGCCCTACAAGAGGCTCCCTCAAGCTGAGATTCACTTTCGACATGAAGTGGTCCATGTCTGCAACACAATTTGTAAACTTAAAGGTGTTCTTCCTCCTTCGCCTGTCATTCATAATTTGCTTCGAACATAGTAATGCATGGTCGGACACACTAGGCTGCATCACTTCAAGAGTATAATTCATATGGTCTTGAAGCCATTCTATATTACCAATTAGGTGATCTATCCTTGAATAGATGGGACATCCACTTTGATTATTTGGTCAAGTGAAGTTTTCACCCCTGCTGTCCATTTCATATAGTCCTGCCTTCTCCATAAACCCTTGCAAATCCCTGTATTCTGCTTCCTTGATTTGTCTTCCACCTATTCTGTCTGTGCACTTCAGAACATTGTTGAAATCGCCTAACAACATCCAAGATCCTTGTTGTTGCCTATAGATATTCACCAAGTTGTTCCACAATCGCTTTCTGTTTTCAATTTGATTATGGCAATAAATTGCAGTCATCAAGTAAAGTTAGGTACCATGTATATCGTAGACACCACAATGTATCATTTGGTCTGAGCACTTGACCATTTGCACGTTCATAGTGCTGACATATTTTCTACTCTTATGAAACATGCTCAGACTAGTCACCTTATTACTGGAATTAAAGATGCAAAAACAGCTCCTAACATCACACATCTCCTCTTTGCGGATGACAGTCTGATTTTTTGCCAGGACACAACAAAAGAAGCTAGAAATCTAAGCAAAATCTTTCAGAAGTATCAAGACACCTCAGGACAAAAAATTAATTATAACAAATCTGAAATACAATTCAACTCTGGAAAGTTTCCAGAATATTCTTAACATTCCTATTGTCTGATCCAATTCAACATTGTCTGGGTCTCCCTACTCAGATCAACAAGTCTAGAAATCAAAGTTTTGGGTACATAGTGGACAGAATCAGAGATAAACTCCAAAGTTGGAAGGAAAAGACTCTATCCTATGCTGGCATAGTAACTCTTATAAAATCTATTGCTCAAGCTATTCCAAAGTCATTGGTTCTTATTATTGCAATATCCATCACCATTGGAACACTCTACCTTGTTTTTAGGCCAAAGCTTCCTAAATACTCAGTAGACAGATTGAGAATAGCACAGTTCAATCTAAGCAAAAGCTTCTGAAAGCTGTCTATTGCGCAATATCAGCCCCTTATGATAAGATGCTGGTCAGAATGAAGCATTGGAGCACCAGGCTTCTATCTTATGCATGTAGATATCAATTGATTAAAAGTGTGATCTTCTCAATAGCTAACTATTGGCTATATTGAGAGGTTCTGCGGAAGTTTCTTATGGACAGGGAAGGATAGCCCTAGTAGGAAAGCCTCCATATGCTGGTATGATGTATGTGACTCTAAAGTTGAAGAGGGTCTAAACCTGATATTCCTCAAGGACTGAAACAAGGCCACTATAGGTAAGCTTTTGTGGAATTTATGTGTTAAAAAAGATACTCTTTGGATTCATTGGATACATAAGTTTTATATGAAAAATGTTGATTGGAAAAGGTACTTCCTGCTGTGCATAGCTCCTGGGTCCTAAAGGATATGTTTAAAAATAGGTATGTGTTTGTTAACTCTACTGCCTGGAGTATATTTCAACAAACAGGGAAATATGTTACTAGGGTAGCTTACCATATGTTGAGAGGAGACAAGCCAAAGGTGGCTTGGAGAAAGTTGATCATGAGAAATATGGCAAGACCTAGAGCTACCTTCACCTTTTGGTTAGCTTGCCATGGAAGATTACCTACTAAAGATAGAATGCAGAAGTACGGAGTGCAAACTGATGGTCTTCGCGTCTTTTGTGGGTTACATGAGAGTTGTCAGCACCTCTTCTTTGATTGTGTTGAAACTAATCAGATTTGAAGTCAGGTTCTAACATGGTGTGGTGTTAATCATACGCTTGGAAAATGGGAGGACGAGCTAGTTTGGTTGAGTTCTAGAACTAGGGAGAAAAGCAATATAGGGAAGCTGATTAGGACGACAGTTGCTGAATCTATTTACAATATTTGGAGCATTAGGAACCGAGTCATTTTTCAAGGCTTCAACAAAGGTAATCTCAACAGTAAGGACATTATTGATGTGATTGTAATGTGCATCGAGCTAGATAGAAAGCTTAGTGAATTCTGTAAGAATTTATAGTTGTGGTTTGGTTGTTGCCTTGTTTAGTATAGAGAGCGTGGATCTATCGATCAATTTGTATCTGAACTGTTTTTAGAATTAAAAAAAAATCATCATAACTTGGGTCAATATATGGATCGCTTTTCCTTGTATACGAACATATTGACAATGAAAACTTGGGTCAATATTTGCATGGTTTAGGTAAGATCAGCAAGAACACGTTATTGGAGATGAAGAAGAACACTTACTTGGAGATGAAGAAGAACACGTTATTGATAAATGACAGTGATTTGTGAAGATGAAGATAATTTCAAACCGATGAAGATGAAGCCGTTTGAGAGGAGGGTAATGGAGATGACGAATGGAGAAGAAGATGAACAGCACGATTTGTGTTTCTGGAAATCTGATTTAGGGGTTAGGGGTTTAGAAATAAATTAACAAACCAAAGGCAGCGCTTTCAAGAAGCGCTGCTAAAGGTACCCCCTTTTAGCAATGCTTTAGGCTTACCCCCCCTTTAGCAGCGCTTTTAGACTTACACAAAGGCAGCGCTTTCAAGAAGCGCTGCTAGCGCTTTAGGTTTACCCCCCTTTAGCAGCGCTTTTAGACTTACACCTTTAGCAGCGCTTTCAAAAAGTGTTGTCTAAAGCATACCCTTTAGCAGCGCTTTTATTAATTTTTTAATTTTAATTTTTTTTAAAACCCTATAGCAGCGCTTAGTGAGAAAAAGCGCTGCCTTTGATGAGGCCTATAGCAGCGCTTTTAGTAAGCACTGTCTAAAGTATTTTTTATTTTTTTTTTGGATACCTACAGCAGCGCTTTTGCATAAGCGTTGTCTATGTAGCGATGCCAAAACTCGTTTTTGGCGTAGTGAAGTCGTCTTGAACTCCTCCCAAAATAATTTTTTTTTACTTTGTTATGGTTCAGGGGATTCCAAACACATTTCGCCTGCAATATTATATGACAATAGAATAAATAGTTAGATAAATTATAACAATAATGAAAAGGTCATTTAAATAAAAATAACTTAAGAAATAAATTAATTATACCTGAAATTGCTTGAACCATTCTTCTTTATCGGAAACTTCTCTAAAACTCTTCAAAAATGTTGTATAATTCTGCTGAATTATATAATTGATAACCTTAGCAGCAGTCCTACTCGGCCCGAAACTAAAACAACAATAATTGAATTAGCATAATTAATTATATAAAGTTATATTAAAAATGGAAATGTGTACTTATAAATAAAAATCAATAAATAAGAAACTTACGAGTTCCCTTCAGGCCATATCCAAAATCCCTCATCAATGGTATGAATCTCACTCGGATCATCATCCCCTCGAAGATCTCTCCCATCTATCTGATCATCATCCCCACCAAGATCGTCATCGTCCGACTCTGTGTGGGATGTGGGGGTGCGACCAGTCTGTGTGGGTCGTGAAGAGGTGGATCCTCCAGGCTGCTGGACGGATGGGGGCATCTGGGTAGGAAGTGGGGTGCTGGATCCTCCAAGTTGCTGCACGAATGAGGGCATCTGTGTGGGAAATGGAAAACTATGCTGGAAGGATGAGGGCACCTGTGTCTGCTGGAAGGATGGCACCTGTGTCTGCTGGAAGGATGAGGACACCTGTGTCTGCTGAAAGGATGAGGGCACCTGTGTCTGCTGGAATGGTAAACCAGGTGGGGCTCCAGATGGACTAATAAAACATGTACTCCCAGATGGGAACTGAAGAGGACTCTGAGATGATAGTAATGGAGTAAATGGCATAGTACTGTCCATGGACATATGATGAACCTGACTCTGTGGGGGAGGACACGTGGCTGAGTGAGGTGACTGGCATACTACTACCCTTGGACGCCTGGGCTTCCTACCACTATCACTAGGACCTTTACCCTTATTATCTTTGGGTGGTATTTTTACCTAATTAAAGAAAATACAAGTTAACATATACATATTCTCATGAATGCATATTCATTAAATCATTCAATAAATGGTTCTTTGAGTAAAATTACAAGACACAATTCTCATGAATACATATTCATTAAATCATTCAATAAATGGTTCGTTAAGTAAAATTACAAGACACAATTCTCATGAATATAGGTTCACTATTCTGAATCGTCATGCTCGTCATCCATTTCATCATCGTCATCTGATGTGATACTATCCTCAGATCCAGAATCTTCATGATCTTCATGATCTTTATCCTCATCAACTTGATTCCCATCAACCATTGTATCAGACAAACTTGTAGTGTGTTCATCTGGAATCACATCATTAACTTCAACTTCATCCACTTGGTAAGCAACATCCTCCACTAGATCGTCAGTTTCAATATGACCCAATGGTTTTGTTTTTATTACAACACAACACCGACGTTTACGTGGCACAAATGAAGGATAAGGAACATAATAAACTTGCCTAACAATATTTGACATTATGAAAGGGTCGTACTATTTGTACCTCCGGTCCATTTGAATCTCAACAGTACCATATGTCTTATCTATTTTTGTGCCTCTAGTTGGATCATACCATTCACAATAAAACAAGACAACTTTATTTTCCGAGTCCAAGTAATTGTATACTAACTCGTAGATATGTTTAACAAAACCATAGAAGTCATCTTCACCACCATCTGTAACTCCTTTCACAAATACGCCACTATTTATGGTTTTTTTCCCTTCAGTCCATTCATGAGTGTGAAATTTATATCCGTTCACGAAGTATGTGTGACATTTGTTTGCACTTTGACGAGGGCCATTAGACAAGTTTCTCAAATGGAGTATTTCTGGAGTCGGTGCAACAACCCTATACAATTTCTCCTTGAACCATGTTGGAAATTGGGCATGAATGACACCAGATGTTGATTGTACACCGGTACTTTCAAAGTAGGCGTTGTTAAATTCCCTAAAAATAAACACACTATAAGTTTCAAGGTAATCAATTTTATATATTCACACTGTAAATAAAATTAAGAAGTTGGATTATACTTACTCAAGATATGGTTTAACTTCAATGCAGTTGATCAAGACATGAACATGTGCAGATTGCATTTCTTGTTGGGTCAACCAATGCTCACCCTTCTTTCCAGAGGGACGACCTGGAAGCCCGAAGACTGATAAGGTGTACTGACTTCTTTCGATAACATTTACAGGATTCCTTATGATTCTTGGAGTTAACATCAAGTGCTTGAAATAGTGACTGCAAAAATGTGAAGTTTCTCGATGCAAGTAATGTGCACATATTGATCCTTCTACTCTAGCTTTATTTTTCACTGATCGCTTTGAATCACCCATGAACCTTTCAAACGGGTACATCCACCTATATTGAACAGGTCCTCCTAGATAAGCCTCATATGCAAGATGCACAGGTAGATGTTCCATGGAGTCAAAAAAACCAGGAGGAAATACTTGTTCCAACTTACAGAGAATGACTGGAATATTTTGGTCCAACTTAATGATGTCATCCACTCTTAAAGCAGAAGCACAAATATCTCTAAAAAATTGACTAATTTCAGTGAGTGGATTAAGCACATGTTTGGGTAGAGAACCGAACGCAATTGGTAGCAATTGTTCCATAAAAACATGGCAATCATGACTTTTCATACCATGCAACTTCCCAGTGTTAGCATCAGCACACCTTGCTAAATTTGAAGAATACCCGTCGGGCATTCTCAAACCTTTTAGCCATCCACAAACCGCTTTAGCTTCTTGGGGGGTCAGACCGAAACAAGCTTTGGGTTTAAATAATTTTCCATTTGGTTAAGGCTTCAATTCCAACTCTTTACGATTACACCAAATTTCCATGTCTTGTCTAGCCTTCACATTATCTTTTGTTCTGCCTTTAACATCCATCATTGTGTTAAAAACGTTATCAAAAAAATTCTTCTCAATATGCATAACATCAAGATTATGGCGCAACAAATTATCTTTCCAATATGGGAGGTCCCAAAATATACTTCTTTTTGTCCAATTATGTGTGACCCCATATCCTTCAATTCTACATGCTTT